GGTTCAGGTATAGTTCAACTGCTTAAGCTACAATCAAATTATCTAACCGCCTACGATAATTTATAGATACCATCCATATCTCATGTGATCCGTTAGTGAAAGCATCCGTAGAGATCCGTCAAGACAAAACAACTAGAAAATGTTCTAAAAATATAGCTATCTGCTTTTTTCAAATCATTGTTTCAATTTGGTTATTCTTGAGGCTTATGTTGTTAATGGAACAGCCAAACACCCGCTGCAGTCCCATGTTGTTCTTTTCTAATAAATCGAAAAGAGCTGTCGCCCTCAGGCGCCGCCAGGTCAACCAATATCACCTTTCCTTCTGCTCTCCTTAGTTCGCTTGTTAAGTTCACTTGCTATCGCAGTAGTCTAAGCCTTCTCACGAAAGGTCTAGCACTCAGTATCATAATTATTTATTTATATTGTTGGCGGCGTTTTGTTTGCCCACCTATTTGGGAAGTCAGTTCCTCCAAGCAGCGTATTTACACTAGTATCCGCCGCATCTTAGACGGTAGAATTGCTCTTTGCTGTAAAAAGGGTTATTTGTACAATTCGTTGTTGTTGGTCGAAACATCCGGTCCTCATATGTTGTTGCTTTCGCTCACTAACGTTGAGGGTCCAGACGGAAGCCACATGAAAAATATTACATTGTATTGCATATCGTTAACGTTATTCTATGGATACCTATACGTAAGCGGTACTGTTACACAACGTTTCGCTCTGCCATTCAATTCACCAACCCACAACAGAGAACTACTAGTAAATGTATCAGGCGGTCGCACCGGGCCGATGTCAGTAGCGCAAATGGCGTCTAGTGCATTTTTCTTTTTGTCTCATTTTTTCTACTCTAGTTTGTGCGCGTATGTGTATGTATGTGTACGAGTGCTATGGCCTGCCAACGGCCCATAATATTCCCCAGGTTAGAATGGATTGCTCGCTGTTCCTTGTCGTCGTGATCAACGGTCGCTGACAGCTATAGCACTGATGTAACGCTAATGATGATGATGACGACGACAATAACTTTTAAACGTAGGGAAGACTAAATGATCAAAGAAGGCTATATAGTGAAACAAAGGTCATTTCCTTTTGTTATTTTCACTTTTCCACGAAAAAAACGCATCATTACGTTTACCAATGACAATAGCTATTTTGTTGACAACAGATTGACACTGTTGGCTCGCGGTAGAACAGCGCTCACAACTGATCATCAAGGGCAACTACTTTAAGACGGTCAGAACTAAGAAAAATATCACAGTATACCCTAAAAGACGTGGGCGCTACCCGCTACAGCGCTGAAGTGTCCGTTTACTATGAGAGGAAAAATCGAGGTCCAGTGCGAGAGCACGAGATAGTGTGTGTCAGATGAAGACACGCTATGAAGAGCCATAACCAAATAAAAAACAACAGCCTCTTTTTCAATAGACAATAAACTCAAGCGGTAGCACTGCGATGGCGGATACTGTGGCCAGTAGGTTAATGCCAGTCGAGAAAGAGATGCGAACCATTTGTGTGGTCGAGCGCGGGTTTCGGGCGCTTCAAGAAGCCCGGTCACAGTACGCACTCAGTACTGAACAAAACCAGCCGCGCCAGCGAGTTTGAGGAGCTGTGCAAGAAGGCCGGCTAAACGCGACACTGGACGCGAAATCGTGTCCCTTATGCGCATTGTTCATCCATTTTGTTCATCGAGCCAGAGTAAGGTAGTCGCTGTAGAAGTAAAAATAAATATTTTGCATGAGACCTAATTAGATGATGATCATCACGAACGGAATCATAACGATGATGTTGACGATGACGTCTGTGTACATGCTGAGAAACAAACGACAAATTCGATGATGACGGGAAGGACGGCAATGACGAAGGTGGAAAAACTAACATACGTCTAAAACAGTTCATTAGCGGTGCGTAACTCGACGGTCTCGAGGCTCAGAGCGATTGTCCATGATAGACTGTGGATGACTGCTCCTAATAGCAAGCACACAGCAATCGCGACTCAGCTAAGACTATCAGTGCACGCTGATGCAGGCGCATCTAATCGCAATGCGTGCTATTGGATGGAACGGGTAAAGGAGAAACTCTTTGGGGTGAGAGAAGGGAACACAGTAAATCGCTGTTGGTCAGTCGTCGATAAATCGATGCCTTTTTACATTTATCGTAGGTTTAGAAAACGGACTATTCGAATAAACTGTGACTATACCATTTCAGAGTATGATTTCGAATAGCATTTTTATAGGTAAAGATAAAAGCCAGATATTAGCTAAAGCTTACGATTCAGTATTTTCTCTGCCGTATTTCATATTTTGACATGTTTCTATGCTACAGAAAATCTCAATACGTGTGTGTCATCAAACACCGCGCTTCACATGATCAGGCTTTTCAAGCACAGTTTTCACAGGCTTCTTTGACCAACCAGCTCATGCTGTTTACTTCTTCATCGTGGACGGTTTTTGACAATGCCTGTTTTACTTTCGCTGAGATTTTTTACAGAATGTTCGATGATTGGATTACTTCCACCAGTTAAATCGTGTTTATTGTTACTGGCGTATCAAATCAAAACGTAATTGTCGTATAGAACGATAATCTCGATATACAATACATAGCGTAACACGAGTAGTGGAACTATCCAGCTTAGTGGTGGATCAATCCATGTGACTGGTTAGGCAAACGGAATCAAAAATCAAACAAAAATAGTCATCTGTTTGTTTTAGCTTATTGAAATCCCGACGGCTTTTATCACAACTTAAAAATATAAAAGAAAACAACTCTTACCATGATGGCTACCTGCAGTCGTGTGCTTCTTTTTAAGAATGTTGCCATTTCGCGCATCGTTACGGCATACGCACCATGGCCCAAACTTGGCCAGGGAATAGTCCAAAGGCGAAATAAAGGGCAAAGATTGCTTATAAAGTGCACAGAGCAGGCATTTTTTAAGCTTCCTCACTAACCAAATGTGGAAAAAAACCACAGGTAGAAGGATGTCTTTCAGAAGTAAAGGCGAAGGGGATCGATCAGGTATTGATAGCTCGAAAACCTAAAAAGAATTATGCTGACAAGACGTAACACGGATAATAACTGAATGGGCCTGACCTGACAACGAACTAAAACAACTGAACTGAAAATAATAACAACTGCATCAATTGACCGGAGAATTTGCCTGTGTCAAAGACAGTGCCCAAAGGTGAACTTAAGGCCAGAGACGGTGGTGACGGCGAATGTCGAGGTAAGCGGTGCCCACTAAAAGTTGGCTATGGGAACCGGTCAAGGGTGAGAAATGAGAAGGAAAGGAAGATATACAGAAAAACGAGGGGAAAAAGATGGCAATATTGTTTTCAAAACGCAGCGGGAAGGGTAGACAGGCGCAACCTACAGGAATGACAAACGGTAACGGACAACTTCATGAAATTATAATTTCAATTATTTCGCGCAATAATTTTTGAGAGACCCGAACAGATTCGTATGATAGGTACCTCTAGTTCATGAGCACAAAAAATATCGATATTTATCATATAAACATATAGAACAAGCAACGCTTTTTGAAATTTAGGACCCGAAATTGGTAATATTGTTAAACTTTCGTGGCGTGGGTGGCACCAGCGGACCAGACAATTGCATACAAACAACACTATGTAGGTGAAATTAAAAGATATCAACTAATAATGATAATAATCACTCAAGTAACTCAAAGAGCACTAAAGGATGGTACACTATAGTCAATATTTTGCCAACAATAGATGATGGCTGAATGAGCGATGCGATTAGCCATGACGACTGTCAGGTATGAATGTTTCTTCTAGCTATGAATCCTGTTCGCTTACAATTAGTTTTTTCTTTTTTTTATAACAAGTGCCATCTATATTGCACTTCATCGTAATAAGTACATCGTTTAAATGCTTATCATTCAAAAGTTACAAACAAAAACAGAAGCGGCCAAAACAGAAGGCGCCCAGTAAATTAGAAAATCGTAAAATTATACAATATTGAAAATAGGTCACAATATTGGATATAATGTATTGATACCGACCGAGTCAGCCACTCTAATTTTTTAAGATAACTCATGTCATGAGTTAAGCGCATGAATCAAATGTGGACGAGAAACGACATATCGCATGTCGATGCTCTCAGATATCAACCAATTCGAAGAGCGTTGAACCATCATCGTTAACTAAGACGTTGCGCGTAAGCCTGGGTAACCTGATAACAACAAAAATAAAGATTTACAACTGTAAAATAGTTGTCTCGTAATGTAAATTATCTACCGCACTGTAAGTTGAAAAGATTTCATGTCGTAATGGTCTCTTTCCGTCTCTGTTTAAATTGTCATGCACTAGAACCAATGCAGCATGTGTGTTTTACATGTCCGATTGCAATGGTTCGACCTGGTTCTGTTTTTGTTTTCACTGCTAACTTCTACATGTTGTGGCCCATCGCTATTGTTGTAAAATAAGAGACCATTTATACTCGATTCCAAAAAAAAGTGTCCATGTATTCATGCACAATCCTGCCTGGCGAACAAAGCGGGTCGCTCTTGAAAAAAGAATCATTCTACCGTACGTTATAAAAAGGATATTTCGGAGCATCACATTGATTGCGACCTAGAAAGAATGTACAGCATATATTTTCAGAAGGTCAAAAAGCCGTCGCTGAAGTTTTTCCCTTTACTATTGAAGACTATTTTTAGAAACATATGATCACGCTTTATGGTCGCGTGCGATTAAACAAATTACAACGAAAAAAAAAAACAATCTAACTGGCCTCCCCCTACGTCAAAGATCTCGTGCGCTATGCACAGCCCTAGCTATAAACCCCCTTTTAACACCTCTCCTAAATTCAGTCAGAACGATAGTAGCAACGTAACCTTTTACGGTCGTCGCAATCCTCTGCCACAAAAATGTTCAAACATTGGCACACATCCAATCGATTACCACGTTTCCATATCAATGGGCTAATATAGGCAGTCATTATCTAATAAGCAATGTATTATCGGTAAGTATTACTCTACTCACTTTTCCATGCGTATCGTATAGGGGGCGTTGTATCCACACGATGTGACAACACTGCTGAGGGTGCTTGCCCCTCTGTGAACTCGTCTAGCCCAGCCAGACATCTCACAATGACCACTACCACAGCTAGTTCTACTACTGCCAACTACGTCTAGCACGATTCTGTAGCGTAACTCTTCCGTGTTTCCTCGATCTCGGGGTCTCACTGTATCTCTTCAAAGCGTATTATCCACAACACTCCAATCGTCGCCGTAGAGCGATACCTACTCTGAAGTTGGTGACACTACGGCCACTAGTTCTTCGTTCCGTCTAGTGATACGCCACAGTTTCCTGTATTTGCTGTTTTACTGCTGTTGTTGTTATATTTGTTTAGTGTCGGTTCCGAGCGCGTACTGACTGATTCACAAAACAAACGCGTTAATCCTCTTGATTCTCAATTTAACGACCTCTACGTGGCGAACGTTTTTGGGTTCTACTAGACCCAAATGAGACTCAAAATGATATAGCACTTGTAATACGCTTCCGTTTTCGTTACTGATGCTTCGTTATGAACACGACGGGCCCCATGGATAGGCAAAACAGGCTTCAGTGAAACTTTAAGAACCTATGATAATAAAATGTTATTCCGATCTGTGGTAGGAGTCAGAGATATGGTAGTCGACAGATAGCCGTCACGTAGAAAGTTGGTTACCTACAATGCCGGATAATAGCACGAAATGACGCTTTTTCATTTAATTTTATTTTTATTGAAGGAATAACGCAGTGCTGTTAGACTACTCCGGCGATTTTTTTTTTGTTGTTGTTGTTATTGTCTTCGTTATTCTTATTGCTATAGGTTGGGAACGACTGTAACAGGTGTAGCTGTTTAGCAACAGGAAGATTGCAGTCGTGACTGACTCTGAGCCATCCATGCGTATACGACAACCTGCCTCCAGGCCACGTTCACAAAATAATTGTCAGCAAAAATAACAGTAAGAGAGCCACACTCACGGCGTACCCGATCATTATTAACACCTCTTTTTTTCATTCATTCGGTGATAATTGCAAGCCTCAAGAGATATTCTCAATACGATGTCGATTTTAATATATTATGTTTGTTACAATTAGAATTAGAGATATCTCAGGCAGTACGGAGATCAAGGCCCGCGCGCACTTCCTGCGATTTGATTGTTGCTAATCTGGAAAAAGGTGATGACGTTAATATAAGTTAGAACGTCAACTGCTAAGACGGGTGTAGGTAAGAAACGAGGAAGGATCGTTGATTGGCCACAGTCTGCTCAACTCCTTTCCTGAGCGGATCTCCTGCCACACCATCACCCAACAGCGTGTTGTAGCTACCGTCAGAAAAATGGCTCGTACAAAAAGAAACAACTTCACAATAACATGCGCACATACACACGCCCCAAAACAACCAACAAATTAGCGACAGAACGACGGCTCGATAGTGCTTGGTAGCGTCGTCACAACACGCAGACGCGTCCGCGAACAGGCCACTTCTTAAGTTGAGCACCAGGCAACCCGTGAATAAAGCACCGCCACACAGTGGCCAATTGAACTGAACCGAACGGCGGCCACACGCCCAGCCGCAGCTTTCTACTCTTCAACAACTGCTCGAACAGCAGCAACACTAGCACCAAAATCAACCACTCTCAGCGCCACCCACGGCTCGCTGTTCGCGACTTGCGACGACCGCAGCTTCTACGCGTGTCGTCTCCCTCTTGTACGGCGGCGGCAGCTGCGGGCGCGCGTCAGTGAACCGCTGCAGCGATATGGCGCGGGCGATGATGCAGTGACTGGCTTCGTCTTGCCGTCGCCGTGACTAACCCTGCTGCAATTGCAGCTGCAGCTGCTGCTGGCAGCCGCCGATGCCGTAGCGCCAACACAAAACGGTACTAACCAGACGACGAAGCGAAGACAACATGGCGGAAGCAAAATCAATACGGCGGCCAACAGCAGAACTACTGATCAGACCATCAACCCCACCCACACGCCACCGGCAACGAGATGCTGGGAAAGGGTAGCGTCGTGAAGAGTGGGCGAATGGATGCGTTCGCTGATGCCGCCAGGGACAGAGCGAGTAGCGGGCGTCCAGAAAGAACGCGCAAATATTTAAATCGTTGCTTTTCATATTGAGACTATGATGTTGGTAATGATGACAACTGGTTAGACCGTGAGATAAAAATGAAGACATAGGAAAAATGGCTTGTTGTTGTCGGCCAGAGCTGAGAGAAGATGAAAACCGTTGCTTTGTAGCTTGAAAGGCTGCAAGAGATGTTCGGCAAGAAAACGGGTAAATTAGCGGGAGAGCCTGATTGCTTGATTCGATTTTGGATTTGGCGCGTAGCGCTGCCCGGTATTTAGAACAGACATTATAAAGTTTTTGTTCGTTAGTATTGTTGGGTTGCGGTGAATTTTTGCGCATCTTTTGCAGTACGTGATATGAAATCTATACGGTGACGCTAAGCTGTTGGAGCAGCAGAAGACCCAAAAAGGTCCCTTTTTTTGGGCAAAGACAACTGAGCTGGAGTTGTCGGTCCTGCACTCTTTTATCGTCTTCTTTTTTCTTCAGAGAACCTATCGTTGTGAACTGTCCAAACTCCGATCAAGGACCCATTCGAGCTCTGTGTTGTACTGGGACCTTACAAAGAGCAAGGCACAGCTGGCATCTAGGACCTGAGAGCCTGTGAGTTGAACTAGGTCTAAAGTTCAAGCGACTCTTTGCAAACAGATGGTGAGTTCAATTTTGTGTAGGTCGTTGGGCGATCGGCTGACCTAATAACTGGAGAGACTACTAATACGTGGTGCTGTGTCAGTGCCCATTTTTATGGTACTTTCTCTGAAAGCAACGAATTATTAAAACTAACCTGTTTAAAGCACGTTGTGAAATTTCAAGTGTAAATCATGTTATAGAAGTGATCATATCAGCCAAAAAAAAACATAGGAAAAGGATAATTAAACCAAAAATTCCATAACAGTTCTCAGTTTCGCCAATCAGATACTCTTCAGTGAATCCAAAAAACGACCTGAATATTACAGAAACTTCCTATAACGCCCTTCATTTCCTATAGATCAACCTAATTTTAATCCAGCTATGATTAAATCGCGAATGCAAACGAGATACGCAATTTGACATATTCAACGAGCTGGTATCATTTATTACTGTTCGAAATGGACATGTCAAAAACGGACAACCCTATACATTCAGATATTAGTTATGTGCGTACCCTTGAGGAATAGTGGGTAAACTGGGCGCAAAGATGACGTTATTAAAGACAAAGCGATTTTTTGATGAAAAAATAAAAATAGACAGTCGTGATTCTTTATTCAATATTGGTAAGAACTAATTGAGGTCCAGTAATACTGGAAATATGTCGTGTCAATAAATACGGAATTGCGTTAGCCTTTCGAAACAATAGCCTTTACGATACTCAAAATCCTTTCTATATCTGGTTTGACCAACCCCTTTGACGGTCTAGATAGAAGCATCGATATTATGATACCTCTCGTTGCTTTGGTTTTCTGACTACCTTAAGTAAATTCGATGTTACCTAGCTTTTTTTCAGCTTTCATCGTTTACAAAACGTTCCCTTGCCGTCCAGTAACTAAAACACAAACTAAGATTCGTGCAAAGGTACTTCCAACAATCGACTTCATTCGGTTGTTGTATGTCGTTTCTAGTATTTGTAGAAGTAATTTTTGTGTCATGCTCGTTGCGTTTCCTGCGCTGGACGCGTGCGCTCAACCATATAAAATCTTACTTTTCTTTCACTCAATCTGAAACAAGTTTTTTTGTATATTACCCTCCTCTGGTCGAACCTCTAAATTCGGAACTCCTTTATTAAAAAAAAAATGTACCCCCATATATCTGTAAATCCAGTACAGTCTGAAACAAATTAATTCTGCATGTGCATTCAATTTACTTGCAATTCCCAATCCTTGTCGCTGCCTCGACTGTATTTACTTATCTGTAGAGTTGGCTCGGTCGTCCAGCTGTAGCGGGCCATGGCGAGCGAGACCTCGCTCGGGAGAGGACGTCGCGTTTACGACAGGCAAAATCAGTGTATCGAATGATGATATTTATTTAGAACATCGCGCTGCCGTTTGTCGTCTAAAAAGAGAAATAACCAACAAAACATTTCTGACAAGAATTAGCTGCAATTAGCTAGGATTGTTCGTGGACCTCTATTACTTACATGGTGCTGCTGTTACTGGATAGCAGAAAAGCGTTTGACGGCTGTGTTTGGCGGGCGAGTGTCGTGATTGGAGGGGAACGTTTGTCTGGCTCGACAAAACTATGAATTCTTCTTTTTCGTATTTTATTTTTCTAGAGTGTGGTATACGACAATCCAATTGCGAGGTCGGACGAACGAGGCTGACAAGCTAGATGCAGCGGATTGACATTGTCGTCGTCGTCGTCGTCGTGAACTCGATTCAGAGAGCTGTTCAGTTTGTGTTGACTGATGTGAGGGTTAAGAGCAAGAGCCGTGGGGTTCTTTGACTATCGGGTGCTGGCTGCCGCCTTGCTGGCTAGCTGGCTGGCTAGCTGGCGATCGTCACAATCACCGCAGAGGGCAGTAATGAAATCAGAGGAGATATACGGGTCGTCCGCTCTCTCGTAATTTTTTTGTGTTGGCTCAACGTGACAACACTTAGGGAAACCGATTCGCTCTTTGATGTATAGGATGATGCGGAGTGACGATAGCAATAGTACGTTGTTGCTGCTCGACGACGATGAGGACGGCGGCGAGACTCCGAGCTCTGGCAATGGTAGTCCACGTCCATCCCCGTACTATTATGGAAAGCTACCTTTGTTTTTAGAGCACGGCAACAATATCAGCGGCGGGTGATTGTGAGAGATTTAGGTAGCTGGAAGGCCTGACGCTCACTCGTTTGAGTAAAATCTACTAGCGTACATTTGGTAGTGCCTTTCGAGCGACCGTGCAGGTGACGGCGCGCCACAAAAGTGGCAGCTGAATCAACGTCGGCGAGAACGACGGTGCAGACGGCGACGAAGCTGAAGGAGGTGAAGATGGAGTTTGATCTGGCGCTTCAGGGCGCTGGTTCGTTCGGGCTGTATCAGAAGCTTCTACTTGGCTTCCTGGTTTTGCCGGCGGGTATGTTTTGCGCGTTTGTCTACTTCTGCCAATATTTTATTATTTTGGTGCCGCATAAATTTCATTGCAAGTTACCTACGAATCGGAGCCAAATAGTGGCATCGAATTTGACGTACGAAGCGGCAAAACGAATTTTCATACCGGCTGACGATCAGTGTCATCTATTTGAATACGAGAATGCAACATCGGCGCTGTACAGCTTACAAGAGCCATTACGAAATGCGACCTGTAACGAATACACGTTCGAGTTCAACGAGCTCTACCCGACAATCGCGACGGAAATGTTTCTCGTTTGTGATCGTGGCAAGTATATTTACGTGATTCAAACACTGTTCTACGTTGCTTTGTCTATGGGTGCTATTATCTTCGGCATCGTTTCCGACCGCTTTGGTCGGCGTTCTTCGATCATTTGCAGCTATTGCTTAGCTGCCACTGCTGGCCTACTGTGCTCAATGGTCGATGTCAACATCGTATCGTTTACGCTGTTCCGTTTTCTTGTCGGACTCTGCCTGCTGCCGCTATCTGAGGACCCGTACGTTCTCGCTCTCGAGTACATCGGGGCAGAACACCGCACTTCGGCCATCGTCTCTTGGGCAGTATCATACATCCTGTCGTCAATGGTCGTGCCCTGGGTAGCTAAAGGTTGTCATAATTGGCGTCTTTTTAATGTTGTTATGTCTGTCCCGCTTCTGTTGCCGGTCCTCCTTATGAACTTCATACCGGAAAGTGCGAGCTGGCTCCTATCTAAGCACCGGGACGCCGAAGCGGTTGATGAGCTGATCACTGTAGGAAAATGGAATGGCAAAGAGGTGCCAACCGACCTCGAGCTGCGAGTTGAGGACGCCGAACAGTTCTATAACGGCAAAGGAATCACATTACTTGAGTTAGTTGGCACACCGACGATTCGAAAGCACACCCTTCTTCTGGCCGCTTCATGGTTTCTCACCTATCTTGTGTATCACTCTGTGATTTTTAGTACATCATTTATCGGTACGGATATTTATTTGTCGTATACGTTAGGCGCCATGGTCGAGCTGTTGGCTTTGGTGTTCGTCATGTTTTCGGTGGACGCAGTTGGGCGAAAATTGCCTATGATGGTGTCCACAACAATGACGGTAATTACAAGCCTATGCGGTTTATTCTTTTTGCATACGTCACCGGAAGTCGAAGAAGTGTATGCTCGTGCAAGATTAGCCCTGCTACTCCTGATGCGGGTAGCGATAACGACCCACTATGATATCATGCTACAATATGGTGCCGAAGTCTACCCGACAATTCTGCGAGGTCGTGGACTAGCCGTCTTGCGGTTTGCGGGGACCCTCTCGTTGTACATATCACCGACGCTCGTCTACACTGCCCAGGTTAACATGGTGTACCCCATCATCATCTGTGGACTACTTAGCGCTGTTCTGGTCATCCTGACTTTATTTTTATGCGAGACCCGGGGCTTGCCGTTGCCGCAGACGATCGAGGCCGCCGAACAACTCGGCAAGGGCGAGCCATTACTGGGGTTCATGTGTGCCTGCCTCGAAAGAGTAAAAGGTAGGGCCACTGAAGACGAACCTGATCAGGGTGAGGGAGAGGTCGGCGAAACAAGGCGCAATGGCACAGTCTCGAGTGATGGACGAACATCTGAAGAAGACGACAAGTGCTAATGATTACAATAACATGCGCCTAACATCTATTTATCTATCATCAGTTTATCACCTGCAACGTTTCTGTGCGAGTTCTTTATGCATCCTTTTACGGATGTGTTCATTACCTGTTTATATATTTTAATTTTTCATACATACATGAACATCAGAACGAAAACCGAATCAAAGTTTAGAATTTATTCGGTACTTATCTTGATGTGACCACAACAACAATCCGACATCCATGGGTAAACTTCTCTCATTGTTTTCCGAAAATTAACTTGACAATAATATAAATAAAGGGTATGTTTAAATGGAAAAAGAAGATACCGGGATACTGAATGTTGAATAAAGAATGGCAAAATAACTAACCATCGAAAAGCTTCGTTGACGTGACTGTTAACCAAACTTGTTGACAGTTGAAAGTGAATTGATGTGCTCATAATTCGTTGAACACATATGATACAGACAGACAGAAAAAAATCAATCTACGCTTATTTGCGCCAGGGACAAGCATCCACACACACGCTCATTTTTCAGTTTGAGCGGCCCGTCAATGACGATGATCTTTTGAAATCGCGAACAAATGGCGTATGTAATATATATCACCTAGATACATATATGTATTTTATAGATGAAGTGTTATATCGCTATATTATTGCATAATTTTGTGCCTGAACGAACGGACCTTATGATAAGGTAAATAGTGTGACGACGGCTCGAATGAGTTGTTAAGTCGTACGAAGGAACGAGACAGACTGTCAAAGAGAGAGGCGATAAAACAGAAAATGATTACTACTTCATAAGCGGACGTGTTCATCGATGTATAGCTATTGGCTGTGTGTGTGTGTAGATTGCAACCTAGTGAAAAGGCATCTGCGCTATGGCGTACGACAATGGACCAATGTTCAAAACCGCCAATCCAATTCGCTGAATACTCCTTGTGCCTTTATATATGCAAGATTGTGACGAAGATGAAGAGATACAGTAAGGAAGTATACACATACCGTGCCTCATATTTATCTATTTATATTTGCAGTTATTGACCAAACAATTTAACACTAGAAGGACAGCTATAATACGAATGGTACCTTTAAATAGTTATTTTCTATATATGCTAGATTCTAGATAGATTTCTATATATGCTGTGAATATTTACCGACCAAAATAGATGTTCTATTGGTGTCTAAAAACTAGTAAGAACAATAAGTGTAAAGAAGTAAGGAAAATAGACGCAAACACTAATGAATATTAGTGCATGCATAGTTATATCACTATGTAGAAAAATAACAGATCCTGCAATTTGCTAGGACTAGTAAATTAAGAAAAGAAAAATAACGACCTGCTTCTGTTAGACATAGCAAGGACAAAAAGGCGATTAATCAAATGTTATTATAAATAATAAAATGTGATGCGATTTGTCGTCGATGTATCATTGTCTTTCACTATGCATTATATTTGCAGTTAAAATCACGCAGCTAAATTTGGCTAGAGTTGTTCGCGATGCTTCTGATTGAAAAGGACAACATGTGCTACACAGCCTGTGTGGATAAAGTGAGTTTTTTCAAAAAATTCTAACTACTTTCAAAGGCCCTAATTCTTGACACGATCGGTAAATACATAATGCGAGTGGAGTCACTTTACAAGATGTTCTGTAGATGAACGCTGAAAACAATGCGTGACTAGCAGATCAGCGTGGGGTGCCATGATATGACCTAGTTCGGAGCGCAGTTCCATTAGCTACAATCACGATACGATTATAGTCCGTATGCTATGTCTAAAATTAAGGGGTTAGGTCGTAAATTACGGCACGATGTTCCAAAATTGGTCCAAAACAGCCGTCTAATACGAAATGTGATTTCGCTACAAATGAACAAGTAACCGGGAGTAACGTATAGCGAACCAACGCAGACGTGAATTCGGCGATGCAGTTTCGTTAGCGAGCTCTTCAACGAGAACGGGAAATTCATTTAGGAACTATTCAGATCGCATAACACCGCCGCGAGATCAAAGGTTGAGGTCGGTCACGTTAAACAGCGCCGAATATTTCATACAAGCTTTGAGAATTTGGCAAGCTGACTTTGTCGTCGACTTTTCTTGTTAGTACTGCTCGAGCCATCAGGTCTATTGGGCCAACGATCTGATAAGGCCGCTGCTCGGTGTTTATGCACCTCTAACTTCGCTTTGAGACGATTCAACGCTTTGTCTTTTAGTCCGCCCGAAACGGAAGTTCCAAAATTCTACTGCCGACGTATATGTCTATTTGAAATCCGATAGAGGCCTAACGAACAAGAAATAGCTGTAGTAGGAAATCTAAGACAGGGAAAAAAGAAACTATTGGTGAATCATTTTGATTCACTTCCTTGGAACATTTGGAACGTGTAGAGAGCTCACGCGTATCTGAGGATCGGGTTTTTCATTCAGTGAAATACTGGCAAGAGTTTTCGTTTGCTACCTGCAGAACTCATTTTATGTAACCTAATTTTTCTAGCTGTCACTCGCCAGCTCATCAAGTTCTATTGTAATAAAGAATGTATGCTTTGAAGAGTCTGCGGATCTATCTGTAAGCTGCAAATGGATAAGAAAAAACAGGCAAATATGCACAAACAATTTAGTTTCGACACAAACGCAGGGTCGATTGTGTTGAATCGATCTTGACGCACACGAGTAACACATGCTGAATCGATATTCTTTTATGTTTCTTCGTGTTTCATAGTTACAACCTATCTGCTTATATATATATATATACCAATAAGCTTTTATTTATATTAAAAAGAGATCATTTAGAATGTCGCTAAGCGCTGCCGGCAAGTTGCGGACAATGTCAAATGCAGCCACTCAGGTTACCACGTGGATGAGCTGCTGGTTCCATTATTGAGAATAGTCATAGGTGAATCATACGGGATCGTTCCATTAAAAGATATATTAAGTATTGAATGCGGGGTTCTAAATAGAGCATCGGATCAAATTTTTTTTTCAAACCGCAGGCTGCATTGAGTTCGAACATTCATTCTCACTTTAAGTGGAATAAAGTTCAGTATCTATGTGTTACATTGGTTTTTAGATATATAGCTCACATTGTTCATAGGATTCTATTTTATCGAATATTTATATATTGCTTGCTTCTATAAACTCGTACGGTTTCTTTTGAATGGGCTTGAGCTATGTTGGGTACGTACGGGTGTGAGTGCATGTAGGTATATATGAGCCATGTTGGATATGCAGAGTAATGCTTATTTAGTGTTGGCAAATGAGTGAGGGTCGAGCAAGTAACGTGCGCCTATCGTCATGTGCTTTTGCTACTATAATTGCATAATTTGCACAGTTCCTGATGTACGTGAAACTGCACGAACAATTAGCTCGTATGGTCATAGATAGCGGAATCAATGAAGAACCCGGCGACCTATACCAACGAATTACAAGTGTTCGATGAAACCCTGATGTTTATGCCATGTATAAAACATCATTATAAGCATCACTTCTAATTACTCCATTATAGTAAATAAAAAAAAGTACAATAAGCTATACATTGAAATGGTCAAACATTTTGTATTAACCGAGTAAACTTCATCGTCATATCTTTCTACACGTGAATGCAATCGTCATCAATGCGGTCCAGGGATTCTAAAACTAAGTACAGGGCGCAAAACCGGGAATATTTGAATTCAGCAGAATAGTAGTATCGATTATAACGTCCTAGTTCTTAACAAGGTGCAATTTGAGGTAGCGTTTGAACTTCAGTAGGTGATTTAATCGAAAATGTTTCGCCGTCAGCTCAGCAGCCTATAATAATAACGACAAATCTGCATGTACTGGACTATCTCGCATAGGCTTGGTGGTAGTTTGATTATAGTGGAGTTCGTTCCACCACCTCGTCATTGGAATCGATCTCAGGGCGTAGTCGAGTTCTATAGATGTTATTGCCGGTCGTAAATACTTCGAAATATCAAAGTTGAAGATAGTAAAAATGCGATCAGCTTCATTATGCATGTTATCTTGATTATCAGAAATAACTCGTCTCCTGAGCCTCAGATTTGTCTCACACATAATCTGTCACCTACATCACAATGAGCGTATCTTTAAGACCTTATTAAATCAAACTGTTGTTTTTTTTTCATTCCGTTACCTGCTTCAAAAAAGGAGAAGAAAGTTCTACGGAAGGGAGAACAATATGGGAATAAAAGCTCTGCTATATTTATCTGAGATACAGTTACGCTGTAAGTGCAACACCACCTGAGTGTATGTCAATTAGTTGGCCCTCTGTGCAAGCTTTGCCCACACCGGACGCACATGTATCCATCTGTGTATGTTTATGTATAGGCCTTGATGACATCCCCCATATCTTCGTCCATCCCGATGACACGGCTTCGCTTTGTTTTCCTAAGGTCTGTCATAACCAGCATACGACGGTGGCTTAGAAAAACTGAACTGTAAACAGAACACACTGTTTCAAGGTGTGCACACAAAGGGCAAGGCGGGTAAAACGGATGGAATCGGATACATCTTCGTCGAGAACCGCGCAGTTTTGAGCGCAAGTTCCGCTTAATGTTCGCGTCTAATCCCCTATGGAACGACGTCGTATAAAAGAGTGATCCTTTTTCATCATGCCAGCCTCGTCGCTGTCGTCGTTTGTTTTTCCCAAAGCCAAGAAGCGTCCAGATGGTGGCGTTGATCTTGTGCAGCATCGGTGGAACCAGCTGCAAAGCACGTTTTCGAGACAAGAAGTAATGCATACGCGCTTACGCTGACATTTTCGGTTCTTTTTTCTTACTGTTCATTTACTTTCCTCTTCTTTCGCATCTCTCGGATTTTGCACTTATCTTTCGAGCATTTTTCCTCTTGTGGCTGCTCGATTAGTTCGTCTCGTCCCTTATGGCTTGTTCTGCGGATATACGTCTCCGAGCTGGTTCAGACTGGACGGAACCTCGATATTCTGAGAGATTCGACGTCTGCTGTTTGATGGGTTCTTGGTGGAAAACATACGCATATGGGGACGGAAAAGCGTATTCTTCCGTTGATGCGTTGGGTTATGTTCCCATAAGCTGTTGCCCGAGAGGCGCGAAGAAATTACCAGCACTCCTATTCTATCTATTTTACCTGCGTTTTGCCTGGATCGATTATACACTCTGTTCTATAGGGTTCGAAAACTTCACAATTCGAAATAACTAGTAGCAATGGTTTATAAGACCAGTAGCGCCCAGCCTGGATCTGGGCTTTATCGTTTTGGGTAGTTTGGCGACTAGCGTTAGGAGAGGTGATATTGATACCCACACACGAGCAATGGATTTCGCAAGCTTGTCCAAGCGGTGTGTCCCGAATAAGAATGATGTTGGCAATGAAGAACGGTTTAAGCGACAATATTCATTTGACCAGAGGTAGAACTATAAGAGGAAGAAGAGAAGCCCGTATGAAAAAGGCAAATGCGTGGGACGAGGGCAAAAAGAGCTTTGTGCGGTAAGCGGTCAAGGAACTTCATAATAATTTGGTGATTGCTAGGCAATATCACCCACAAAGTCTGTCCGTTCGCTGTCATGGATAACTATTGACAGTGCGGTATCATTAGCAGCGCCGGGGCCATTATACTCGAGATAAAAAAGAGTCGCCCTGGGTTTTAGGCTAGGATATATACATACAAAGCGCACTAATTACCAATGTATAATATATATAATAATAATATATATAATAATAAGTGCCCATGTTTTTATTATTTTTTATACCACAACTCGCTTAATCTTTCCACTGACGATCTTCTACCCTAACACATCTAGAGTATACGATGCACGTATACGCTATACGGTATGCACGAATACGTTTAAATAAGGTTGCTTACCATTACACACCGGCGGCAACTTCGACCAATGGAGGTGATATGGTGGGTTATCTGAAACCCAATGAAATTGTACTTAGCATAGCTCGACCAATTCAGGGCTAGCATCGCTTCTCGGGGGCCCCCTTTATCTTTGGATTTAGACATATTTCGATACGCTTACTGCTAGTGCGGCCATCCCAGCTCCAAGCACTTCACAAGGATCAACAAACTTGGCCCGTTACAGACTAGCGACACCACCCATTACTACCTCCCCTGCTCTCCAGCTCCGTAGGATGCTTCTTTATAGTATTCCCTAGTATTATCTTGGTGAATATGGAACAGTTAACGATGCGAGTAAGTTGCTATGACTTGGTTTCCTTGAGCCTCTTAGGCGGCGAAAGACAAGCAGAGTATCAACGACTGGAAGGTCTTCCGACCTGCTAAATTAATATTAGGAGTACTACTAATAGTTCAACAGCCAACACTTGCTTTATGTTGTTATGCGCAGCAAATAACTCAATATGCCGTCCTTATACAAAAATGTACATTATGCATATTAATCCCGCTCTAGCTGAGCGACTGTTAGTTACTAACGCTGCGGGCAAATATGCCGGGCCAAATTTATCAAAATATTTCGAGGTTTACGTCTGTTGCTTAAGTCCTTAAGGGTTGTCTCAGAGGACCGCAGTGGACTTGGAAAGGAAACTTTTTAGGCGATCCGGCGGCTTGATAAAATAAAGATATA